AAAAAAAGAAAGAAAAAACCAACAACTGGAAATCTTTGAAAACCTATTCCTTTTTCTACCCTGGGCCAAAATCATTGTATTATCTTCAAAATTTTCATTATGTGAGAAAAATAATTGAGTGAGGTCCCCATTGTAATGATTCTAGCTCACTTAGTCAGAAAACCAGAAAACGTGCTATGGTGTTAACATCACATAAATATATTGCAATTTTTTTTCTGTCCAACACAACTACAAGAGTCTCTGGCCTTTCTCATTGGAATAAACAAGCATAATCTGTAAACACTTAAGAGCACCCGACAGTACGCCACATATAAATTCATCTAAGAAAGAAAGGTCTCAATCAAAACAAGTGCATGAGCTTTGTTTTGTTGCTGTTGTTTGTTCACTTGTGTACCAGGGATCAAGCCTGGGACCATGTGCTAAGAAGTGCACCAGCTTTGGAAGAACCACAGCATTGACGGAAGGTGGTAAGTGTCATTGCCATATCTTACTTCCAGTAAAACAATTTGGGAAAAGCAAATTGATTTTGAAGACTACCAGCTCTTTCAACTCTACCGCTACTGTTAACATGCCCATTGTTTTAAAAGCGCACCATGAATGCAGAACAGCTTAATTTGGAGGCTCCCAGGCCTCATTACTCACTAAGTTCCGTATTATGTATAAGCTATACAAACATACTTTTGGGGGGGAATTTGCAGAACTCATTTTACTCAACTAAACTTCATGCATTTTTGCCCCATATTGGTCATGTGTGAAATTTAAGAAAGGGGTTATTGCCAAGATAGGACCTGTTGTTGCCTTATAGTCTAGAGCACAGGGATCCACTTGGCAATCACATTGTTGTTTTTTTTTTTCTTCAGAACTAGACCTCAATTATTTATTAAGTCTATATACAGAAGACAGGTTATGATTTTCCATTGAAAATAATTTCTTTAACAGTTTTCAATTACTGTAATTTTAATTTTATAATAATCACATTGTTAAGGAAAGAAAAAGTCAGTAGTTAAAATTCACATCTTAACAGCTGACAGAAGATTCCTTACAGTAGAGGGAAATCAAAAAGGAATTTTTAGAGTAGATGACATTTAAATTGGATTCACAAGTTGGAGAGTAACTCAACCAGTAGGTTGGGTGACAGCCTACCCATCCACGTATCCCAGAAATAGACCTTCCTTTCAGATCCGCGTTTCAGTTATGACTCAGGATGCGAAGATGGATGAGGAGAGACCGGCGACCCCGAAGAGCTCCCACTGTGATGTCCCACCTGTCACGCTCTACACAGACCACGACAGCACAGACGTGAGAACTCGTGTCAGAACTCAGCACAGAATGCTGCAGGAGCACAGAGGAGGCCGGACCCACCTCTGCCTTAGGGTGTCAGCTAGACTTTCTAGTCTGCTTTTACATTTCTGTTTTCTGAATTTAGAGTCCTTTCTCCAAATTTGGACCAAAGTCTATACTTGAGAATGATCTAGCAACTAAATGGTAACTTAAAAACAAAAATGTCAAGGCATTCTCCCATCATCAAAATCAACATTTCATTGATATGTGTATTGTTATTTATTTAATGGCAATACTATAATGGCATTTTTTCATAAGTTTTATGTCTCAGTCTCTGCTTTGCTGTTTATTAAAAGGATATCC